CATAATACCGATAGATATTAATTGACTTACAACTCTATTAAGTGCATAAATTTTTTCCTATCAATTTTAATACTCAACAGCTCTTTAATAGCTTCTGCAATATTATCTGGAAAGATAGAAGAATTAAAGCCTATATCTATCATTGCACATGAAATTATTAAACCTCCTATTTTGTAATAAATAATGCAATATTATCAGCATCCTTTATTTGTAGAAATTTATCTCTAAAGACTTGGACCAATGTATTTGGTTATTTTTTTTAGCTAAATGATGTTGAGTATATGCTTTAATAGCATAGTTTAAAGTATTAGAACCCACTAATATTATATCATTTATGAGGTCATCTGACTCTAGCTTCTCTTATATCGAGACTTGAATAAGAGGTTTTTACTTTATATTTGTGACTTGAATTAGTTAATGTAAAATATCTATAATTTTGTTAGTGACAAGCTCCCATATTTTTTTCTTTTCTTAATAGTATCATTTTTTATAGCTATATTCAGAATCTGATTTTTCAATTTAGGGTATATTGTATTAATATATTGTGAGTTTTCCTTAAGAATTTCTTTAGAAATATGTTATATAACTAATAATAATATAAATTTTAAGGCTACAGTCATACCTCTCTATAGCGAATTTTTATATAACGAATTTTTTGGACAACTATATTAAATTTACCCTCGTTATAACGAACTAGCCAATCAAATTCTTTAAAAAATTCACTATAGCTCTATAGCGAAGTTGAAGTTCAGGACACAAAATTCGTTATATTAAGGGTTGACTGTACTAAAAAAACATAATTTATAATCATGGTTATGGATGCTGAGGATTCTGCTTTTTTACGAAACTTGAAAGTCAGGGAATCCTTTTTATAATTTTTTTCATAGTATACCGCTTTGCATCACTTTTTTTAATAGCATAGCAATTTCGGTCAAAGACATTTAGAGCAGATTCATTATTATCAACATATTTATCACTCTTCTCAACTTCCTCCTCCGCAACTATGTATTTTATTTCAGACTCTTCAGAATCTTCAGAATCTTTCTTAGCATTTTAGTATACATAATTAACCTTTTTAATTCTCTTAACTCTAGGGTAATTAATCTTTATATAGCCAGCTTTTCTATAGACTGAGCAATGACAAACAACTTTCTGAGAGACAATTTGTTTAACTGGTATTTTTTGTATTACCTTTCTAATAGCTTTCTTTGTAATATTTGTATTTCTAACCTCTAACTCTGAGAAGATGCTCCTTTTAACATTAAATACTTTTACCCTAATCTTTTATCAAGTTTATCATAGATATATGATCCTAAGGTTGAGATATCTATTGCTATACCTAAATAATCCAAATCCTTTGCAAGATAAACTATAAATTCATGTTCAGCTTATGATTCTTTTTATATATATGAATGAAATAGAGTTTCTTCACTAAAGAAGGAAATACCTATACGTTCACCAGCTTCTAATTATTTATTATTAAGTTGGATAAAAAAGTATTTATATCTGCTGGATTTCCAATTTTAATCTGTAATTTTAAATTTTCAGGTAAATAGCTATAAAGAATAGGTAGAGTATCTGCAAATGGTAAAGCATCTACATGTGGTCTAATTCATTTTTTATATATTTCTAGAGTATCAATAGAAAGGAATTTATCAGATATAAGTACTTTTATAGAAGCCTATGCTGAACTTTGTTTTACTATATGATATATTTTTCAAAGCCATGCTATGAATAATGCTAAAGAATTGATCGCATTTCCTATACTATTATTAAATGGATTTGGAGGAGTAAACCTTCCTGCTATTTTACTTGCTAATATATTAGTTTTCATAGCATTATTAAATTCTTCAACTCCTAATGAATCATCATAATTAATTGTCTGCATAATCTTATTATAATAATTATCTGGTAGCTTTTAACCAACATATTGCAGTATTTGAGCTAAAAGTAGGACATTGAATTTAAAACATCTGGTAGGATAGCCATATTTTCTAAAGGATTTATTTGTAAATTCAAAATAATTTGGCTTAAATTTATTTTTCGAACTTTCCATTTTTGATATTAATTAAATACCTAAGCTCAATTGAATTCTACCAAGTCAGTCTCAGCTTTGTGTCTTCAATTTATTAGCCAAAGGGCTATCTTTTCTTGCAATAATATATGGTTATGCTTTTTTGATCTCTGATTTCTAAGCTATTATACCTAACATTCATTTGCTTCATTATTTAAAGCTTGTATTAGCATTTAATTATCATTCTGTAATCTTGCTCAAACTTCTTGCAATTGTTACCTTAGATTTCTAGCTTATTGAACACTTTATTCTACTATCATATTTTGATTTTACCAAAACTAACGAATTGTATTAGTATAAGTAATAATATTTTTCAAATATGTACCAACTCTATCAAATTATTCTCTTATATCATCTGGAAGAATAACTTCTGTATTATTTAAATGTATCTAAATTCTTGCTAAAGAAGTTGAATAGGATTTGAGCCTAGCTTAATTTTAAATTTAAATTTATTATTGAATTCTTAATATGCTTCCTGATATCGTAACGTAATTGGAAGATTAAAAAGATTTCATAAAATTTGTATATCAGAAATAGAACGAGAAAACGCTCAAATATTAATATACACTATCTTGAAACTTTGTCCTAGAACCCCCGAAATTGCCCTACTTTTTTTATTTTTATTTTTTTGTATCAATATTTTAATAAAAATTTATTTATTTATCTATAAGTTATTATCCTTTAAATAGATAGTTAATATAAAATTATTTATTAAAATTATAATCACAAATTATTTTCTAATAATTACATAAAAATATAATTTAATTTATCAGATTCTTATAAAATATATTAAATAATAATATTTTTTTATTTTATAATTAATAAAAATAAAATATTAAAATTTAAATTATTGGATTATTTTTATAATAATTTATTATTTATTTATAAATTATTAATTAATAGTATTTTTTTTTTGATTTTACTTAGAAAACATTTTAAAATTTATTATAAAATTTATAGTTTATTAATATTAAAATAAATGTTTTAAAAAATAATATAAAATAATTTAATTAAAAAAGTAAAATTGCTTTTAAATTTAAAAGCAAAACTATTAAAATGATAAATTATGATTACAAAAAAGTAATTTCTAAACAAGTTATTTGATAATTTTATTTTTTTTCTGAATTGATAATAATTTTATTAAAATTTAATATATTAGAAAAACAAAAACTATTATTATTTCAGAACATAAGTATAATAAAATAATTAATTTCAAATTTTAAGTAGATAAATAATAAAAATTTGTATCATCCTATTTAATATTAATAGTATATTGCCTTATTATTACTAAGTCTTAAATTTAAATTATATAAAAAATAAATAAAGATAAATTTTTTAATTTTTTTAAAAAAAATTTAAATTTTTAAATTTTCAGAATTTATAAAAATAAATTAAAATTAGTTTTTCTATAAATTTTAATTATTATTTATATTTTTTAATAAAAACTTATTAATAAAATTTTTAGATCTTATAAATAAGTAAGTAATTTTTGGTTTTTTAATAAAAAATTTTATTTTCTTTTTATAAGACTTATAAAGATAAAAAACTATAAATCTTACAAAAAAAAAAGACTTGTAATTTATTAGTTTATTTTTTTAAAAAAAAAAAATAATAAAAATTAAATTATAGCTTCTATATTTTTATCTATAACTTATTTTTAATTAAAAATAAAATCTTTATATTTTATAAAATATTTATTTTTAATAAATAAATCAAAAAATTTAATTTTTTCTTTTATAGAATTTATTTTATCAAAAATAAAATCTTTTAGATTATTATAAATAAAAAAATTTATTTCTTTTTATAATAACTTAAAGTTTAAACTTTCTTTATTAATTATTATTATTTTTTTTTTAAAAAAAAAAATAAAAATAAATTTTTATTTTTAAATATATTTTAAATTTTTTTTTTATATATTTACAGTAATTTTAATCTATATAAATCTATTATACTATTTCTTAAATTATAAAGCAAAAAAAAACCAATAATTTTTTTAATTATTATAAAATATTTATAATTTTTTGTTTTTATTATAAGTTTTTCGTTATGGTTTTGGAAACCGGAGCACAAGTAACCAATCAAGTATCGACTCAATTTTTGAGGGGCGGACAGAATATTTAGTGTCACCGGGCCTAGACCATAATAGTCCTTCGTTACACTCCGGACTAATTACAGTTATATAATAAATATCTTTACCTAAAATTCTAATAAACTCAATGTATTTTAAGACATAAGATAAAGTCATTTTAAAAGTTTCTAAATTTTAAGCTATAGCATCATTACAGTTATGTATTCTTTTTTATTAAAAGAAATATATAAAAATTCTTTTAAAGTTTTGTATTTATAAAAGAAAAGAAAAAAAATATATTATAATGAAAGTCAGCCACAATATTTAAGTCGGTCGAATCGGGTACCCAAGTCACGAGTAACTTAACTTTAACTTGGAAAAGATTAATAACACACCATACAATATCCATTAAAATAATGTTTTTAACCTTAAACAATACTAGGCAAATCATGATTGTCACGTGCCTATGGCAACAATCTTTATTATTTTACTTTTAAGTCAATTGTAAAAAGGGATTTATCTATTCTATTATTCTATTATGTAATCGAGCAGATGAAAAATCATTTGTGTATCAGTAAAGTCATATACTATGGAAATAAAAAACCGTAAATAAATAAATCAACTGCATGACGTTTATTAAATTGACCAAATGACCAACAAACATTCATATAATTCATTTAAGTAAGTCGGGTGATTTCCAAAAATATAATTTTGAAAGGGAGTGGCTTTTGGTATATGCAAATTCTCGTATTTAAAGTCGTTTTTAGTAACTTCCTTATTCAACTTGAGCAAAATATATTTTTTTTCTTTTACAAATTCAAAGGACTCTTATCACTTAGTACTCACCAACTTTAAAGTATGGCAACATTTTTCCGGCGGATATTGAATAAACGATGCGTCAATACTCTCGTTCAACATGATCGTTTTATAGGCTGTTCTCATCGTCCAGTAATTTCTAAAACAAATATGACCACAAGGTTCTATTCTTCCTCGTCTTCTTCCTCGTCTCCGTCGAGTACGAAAAAAAACAATACAACACCTACTGCACCTCAAAAAGAATTGCACTTTGTTCATGTTCAACATATACACCCACGAGATCTCGCGCAGAGCACGTTCTTTGCGTTGCATAGACCATTGTTAACCTTTGGTATTGAACAAATGCAAACAATTGAAAATGGGCAGTCCCAACAGGTTTGGGAAGAAGAAGGTACGCGGCAATATAATACATTAAAAATTTGCGTTTGCATTTTGATCCTTTTGATCCATTTACTAATTAAAATTTTTTTCGACACCTTCATTTTTTTTTTAGATTACGAAGAGAATTCTGGATCCAATGCTAACGCAATACCACTTGCTAATCCCCTTTCACCTTACCTAACTACTACTCCATTTCATCCCAATCAACCAACAATTTCAATGTCTGCTTCAGAATCACAGTATGTAGTTAATAGATTTTTCTCTGAAATAAAATTAAAGTTCAATCAAGAACAAGAACAATCATTAAATAAACAAAAGACGACAATTACATATTTAGAAGTAAATAATATAAAACAACAGGAACAATCAACAAGTGAAATTGATTTTGAAGAGAGAAAGAAAAGAGAGAAAACTTTATATTTGACAAACATTCTTCAGAAGAGAAGATTGAAAATGAACAAACATAAACATAAAAAATTAAGAAAGAGAACTAGAGCATTAAGAAAAAGACTTGGAAAGATTTAATTAAGATATTTGATCTTTATTTTGGATAATTATTTTTATCAATTAATATTATATATATATAAATAGATGGATATATTCATTTTATTATTATGAACAATTTATCATATATATTATAGTTTAGAAATAATCCTTGTAATTAAGTAATTTTTTTTTTTTTTTCAAATTATTAAAAATTCAATTTGTTTGACGAACTTTTACCTTATTATCAAAAATTTTTGTAAAAGTGAATAAATTTGTTTGGTTTCAATATTACGTACGAATGGAAAATCATAAAGTCACATGATTCTCGTATTCGATTAGATTTATCTCGTTTTTTTTTTTTTTGTGCTTTTGCATCGATTTTCTGTTATGGATTCAGATACGGATAGTTCGAATACTAATCCTGTTGTAGATTTGAAATTGGTAAATTGAATTCCTTCTAAATTTCTTTTCATCTAAAAGTAGCACTTCTTTAATGAACTTTTATCATTTATTTACATACGTAGATTGAAAAGGCTACCCATGCATTATTAAAACATGAAAAAGTTCGACCGAAATTAGAAAATGATTTATTATCGGATGGTCAACCAGTAAATGTTTGGTTATTAGTATCATTGTTCAAATTTTCTGATAAGCCCAAGCTTAAACCCGTGAGCATGTAACTATTAGTAACCTTTTTATTTTTATTTTATTTTTTATTTTGATAGAAATATTTCAATTCATTTATGCTTTTTTTTTTAGTCCGTTAAAGCATCCTTTATATGGGTCTTCAACAGAAATTTGTTTAATTACTAAAGATCCTCAAAGAACTTATAAAGAATGGGTTGCTGCACACAACGTTAAATGGGTTCACAATGTAATTAATGTAATATCAATTGCTTATTTTATGCGAACTACTTTGAATTAATTTTTTTTTTTTAAAAAAAAATATTAGGTAATTGGAATTTCTAAACTTCGTAAAAAATATATACCTTACGAAGCTAAAAGAAATTTATGTGATTCTTATGATTTATTTTTAACGGATGAGCGTATTTTACCTCTTCTTCCAAAAATGTTGGGAAAATATTTCTTTGAAAAGAAAAAGTAAAAATATTATATATAAATATGTTTTTTTTTAGCTTGATTTTTATTTATTTATTTAAGAATTCCTTTTAATATTATTACATTATAGGCAACCGATCCCAGTGAATATTAGTAAAGAAAAAAATTTCAAAAAAGAAATTCTTAAAGCTTGTCATTGTACTTATATGTATTATAGTCCAGGAGTATGTCTGTAAGTATACATATTAATTTCAAATTTATATATTTTATGAAAAATTCTCTAATTAATATATTCGACTTGGTAATAGATCTATAAAAGTAGGGACTACGGGTATGACATCAAAACAACTTTTGGAAAATTTAGAAATGGCCATTCCAGTTATTGTAGATAAAATACCAAGGAAATGGAAGAATATTCAATCCTTACAAATAAAGACAACAGAATCTATTAGTTTACCTATATATAATTGTTTACCAAGTTTACCTATTGAAATTGATCCGATAAGATTAGAAAATTCTCTAAGTAGTTGATAATGATAGTGAAGTTAACGAAGATGATAAAAGGATAGGCGTTCATTTGGAGGTATTTCTCAGATATACAAATGCATCTCTTTTACTTATTGTAGGTTCATCTACTTTTATAGACACTGCTTATAGAACGACAGTCTGTGAAAGGGGAAATGGGCATGGAAGACATAATCAACGAGAATGGTCCTTATTGTGTGCACAATTGGATGGTTATTCCGGATAACTCTCCAGAAACAAAAAGAACAAGATGAAATTAGATGTGAAGTGTTATATTTTCGCAGAAAGAATTTTTTTGCTATTTCATTTTGTAATATGTTTTGCTGCGTTTTACTGTAGCTGACAAAATCCAATAAAAAAAGAATATGGTTTTCATTTGCTTTGATTTATGCATATAAAACATATGAAATTCCTTTCAGCAATCTATCTATTTGTATAAAGAATTCGATCTGAAAAAACCATACATAATTAAAATATGTTAGATGTGCATTCGAACATAATGTACAGTATATGTGACCATGACACAATAATTTTATTAGTACAAATAATGTGTAAAGTTTTTCAAAGTAAATAACGATCAAAAGAAAAGGATCGCGTAAATGATCAAAATCAAAATATTTAAAATTTTTTTATCACATTAAGACGAATTTTTAGTATGATTTATAATGATCTACAAAAAAATTAACAACGTATAATAGTATGGTGAGCTTAAAATTAGGACTTGCTTGACCCCTTAATCCAGTAGTGTTGGCTGAATAACTAACGCAGGTCGTATACACACACAAGTGGGTCTTGTATACCTGGTTAGCGTAGTTATTGGTCAGCTCAAACGGGCTTGAAATAGGGCAACGGGGCAAGTTTAGGGTGGGGTAAAGTTCGAGTCCTGAACTCTAGGACTTCTTGGTATTCAGTCTTAATAGGACTGAGTCCCTATTTTTAGAACTTAATTAGGACGGTTCCTTAGGTTATTTTTGTGAACACAATTTTATGTTGTACAACCTGTACATGGTCGTATGATCTTTTTGATATAAAAATGTTCTAAATGTCTTAAAAAAAATAAAAAAAAATAAACGTTAATGTTATAATATTCGGAAGAAAAATCAATTAATTTAATATTCGGAGATTAGTAAAAAATGAATTAGGAAATGTCGCGTTAATTATTTTTTACTTTAAATTAAAATTCTTTTAATTATGACGCGTTTTAGTTTTCCTTTATCTCATTTTTGTTTCAAAAAGTTCTTTGCTCATGAAATGCAAAGTTTTCCAAACCACTTCTTTTATTAAATACTCTTTTTTTTTTTAACTTTTGGACTTGGTTTTTTTTAAAGTCAACACAATTGTTAACTGTTTAATAATAGTCTAAGCTGTCATTTAGTTAAATAATAATTGATAATGATCCTGATGAATTTGAATTTTTTTTGGATTATGATTTTGAACAAGATCCCGATTTTGAACCAGGCTATGATTTTGAACAAGATAAGCAAAATCAAAATGTATTAGATGATTCTAATAAAAAAGATAATAATAATGAAAACTTATCTCAATCTCGTCGAATTTCACCAACATGGAAGTATTTTAATGACCAAACATCTCAACATCCAGGACGTCCAGTTTGTTGCAAATGTCAAAGTGTTTTTGAAAAAGACACTGATATTTCAACTTTAAAACTGCACTTGTTATCTGTATATAAAATAAAAATAGATAATGTTAAAAATATTGAAAACAATCAAGGCATTTTGAATTTCAAGCGAACTGATCCTTAGTCTAATAAAGAAAAAAAAGAACGTGATATTGTAGTAATAGAGTGGATAATTGGTGATGCACAGCCTTTTCGATCAGTTAAACATCCTCGATTTATAAAAATGATTAATACTTTTGATTCTTGATATCAAGTTCCAAATAAGACAACTATTAAAAATTTAATAATAGATTATTTTGGAAAAAAATGTAATAATATACAATATGATTTAAATACAATTCCAGATAAACTGTCATTAACAGCAGATATATGGACCTTAACATTCAACAATAATGCATATCTTGGCTTAACAATTCATTATGTTGATAATAATTGGAAGTTACAACACTTTTTATTAGATATTATTTCTTTTATCATTCGTTATACTGGTATTAATATAGCAGAATTTAACATTCTTGAAAAAACTTTGGCTTTGACCACTGATAATGAATCAGCAATGCTAGTTTGTAAAAGAATCATAGCAAAAGAACTTGCAGTTGAACTTGATAATCAATCTTTTCGACATTACAGATGTTCTGCGCACATTTTGAATTTAGTAGCATAACAAGGAATCAAAATTATTGATAATGTGATTATTAAAATCTGTGAACTAATGAAAAAAATTAAAAATTCACCTCAAAAGTGTGATAGATTACGTGAATTATATTTAGTTGAAAATATACAATATCATAAATCACAACTAGATATAAAATCAGATGGAATAGTATTTACTATATGATTATAAAATTTCAAAAAATGTTACGCCCTATTGAAATGTTAGCTGCAACAGATTGGAATATTAAAAATTTAATACTAGATATGCAAGAATGGATAAAAATAAATGTAAGTAAATTTGTATGATTTTTTTTTATTTTTTTTTAAAAAAAATATTAATATATTTTATAAATAAATAGGATATTCTTACTTTACTTGAACCATTAGAAAAAGCAACAGTCTTGCTTTCGGCCTCTTCTTATTCTACTATTTCTGATGTTAGATTTTTGTTTCTTGGAATTCAACAACATCTAGATGATTATATTGAAAAATTAGAATTCAGTTAGAATGAATTGCATCATCAATACTTCAAAAAATTGATCAATATTGGAAATAGTAGACTCATCTATCTTAGTAGCTACAGTATTGGATCTATGTACAAAATTTACTTTATTTGCTACAGGAGAAGAATCAACAAATCAACAAATACAATTAATACAGTAAAAAATCATTTTACTGAATATCATATACCACAACCTCAAACATTATCCGTAATCAATCATAACAATAATAAAAAAACAAGCACTTAGGAATATTTTCATCAGTTAAAGAAGAGGCGATTAGAAAACATAAATAATATTGTTAGTGTTACTTCAACAACTGAAAAAATATCTGAAATTTATGAAGAGTTTGATCGATATCTTACTTTACCATGTAATAATAATGTTGAACCTTTGTTATGGTGACAGGCTCATTTTCAAGAGTTTCCAGTATTAGGGACAATAGCACAAGACTATTTATCAATCTAGGCCCAATGTTGCATGCGAACAAGCATTTTCTGTTGCAAGTAATACTATAACTCGTACTAGAAATAGATTGTGTCCAGAGACGTCTCATGCATTATTATATTCAAAAAGCTGGCCTAAAAGAGGAGTGGAAGAGAAAGAATAATAATATAAATATATAGATATCTACGTAAAGCATAGAGAAAGTTTGTTTTTATTGGTTAATAATCAATACGTATAACAGTATTATGATTGGCTAAACAAATAATATGCGATAATACTACATGATTACATTTTTACAGTTATTTTTTTTGTATTTTTGCTTCAAATTAATTAACTATCTCATTATGGTTCAAAAAAACCATGGCCCATGTTCAGTACATAATTGTAATAACTAAACATCCCATTTTCGATAATTTACTTCGTTAGCATATGAAAAAGCTCAAAAAAGTAACTTACGAAGCATATACATATTTAAGAATCAGACAACAATTGTGTCATAATCATTATATGAACATTGTTGAACCTTATCAGAAGCATAAGTCAGAAATTCCTCTTTTTTTAGAAGCTGACGAAAATATAACATATCATAAATATAAAATTATAATTAGTTAGCTGCAAAAATAATAAAATCAGAGTTGCATTTGATCATCTAAACCTTTTTATAATGATCTATATAATAATCGGGCTTATATCGAGAATACAGCTCCAATTTTATTGTTTTTACAACTAACTATATTATAATTTTTTATATATATAGAATTAAAAAGTTATTCATTTGCCGAGCAGATTACTATGCTTACAAAGGTTTTATATGAGCAGCGTGGTAATTTAAAACTTAATCCTACACATTTTAAACAAATAATTGAAGCAGCAGATCTGTGTTTACAAGGTCTTTTTGATAAATTAGTAAAGGCATTAGTTCCTGATAACAGATTTGCATATAATAAAGTTGAAGCAAGAAAAACAATTGTGAGCTTATGTTACATTATGGCTGGAATGCGAAATAAGTTTGTTAATGATTTCAAATTAGAAATTAGATTATTTTTATCGACATCAGGATCAACACGTAATGCAATCAATACAATGAATAGTATTGGATTTTCTGCTTGTTATACAACAGTTAATAATTTTAGACGAAACTTGTAAATGAACACCCATTAAATATTAGAAAATTTCTTTCAGAAAATGTAAATAAAATTAAAAAAAAAATTTTTAAAAATTTTTATTAACCAAAATTTAATTACAAATAGAATGATTATTTGTACATCTATAACCTAGATGATTATCATGATATACATGAAAAAAGAAGACCCGATACTATAACCTTATTTACTGCTAACCACATGGCCACTTGTATTTGTAAACAGGTTTCAAATTGTGCACTGATACCTATTGTATTTAATAATGTGTCAGTTTATAATCCAATAAACATTGATGCAAGCAATATATGTTTTCAATTAATTCATGAATATCATGGAATATTTGATATTGCATATACCAATCGTAAAACCCAATGGCTCACTAATAGACAATTAGCTAATAATACCTTTGATCAAATTGATCTACTTACAGTACATTGTTATGATGATGCAATTGCTGAAAGAAAAGAAGAATGTTCAATGAAAGGGGTACAATTAATTGGATTTCAAAAAAAGAATTTGCATTCTATGAATGATTATATAGAAGCATTACAAATGATCTTAGATATTAATAAAGATACTGGACACTTACATAATAATATTGCATCACTAGTAGCAGATTGGCCTAGACAATTATTTGTTTGCAAAGCAATAACAAATTTGCATAAAGCAAATTCACAATATTCAATACCACCTGAGATTAATTCATTCATTTCAATTTTAGGACCTTTTCATGTTTCTCTAAATAGTAGAGAACATGTATTAATTATATATTATACCTTCTTTCAAAAACTGTTTCATTTTGTATTTGGTAAAAGAAAGGTATTGGCAAAGAAACCTAAACCTTGGAAAATAAATTTACTACTTGATTTAGCATATAATAGATAGTATAAAATTAGAGATACTATTATAACAAAATTTGGAAATACCTGCAAAGATATTGAATATTATATGGTTATCGATCTATTAGACAATGTAATTCTAGCAATTTTGGATGTGTAATCAATTCTATTTCGATCAGGCTCATTTAATGAGTATATAGAAACAATTTTTTGAATATGGATATTTGCATTTCGATGGAAAAGGCATAATTACAATAAAGCACCATTAGCCTTCTTATCAGACATTTTTTACTGGCAAGATACAAATCATCCTTTTGCTAAAGCTGTAAAATTATTTTAGTTAACTTTAACAATTATTATGTTAAGAATATGCATAGTAAAATAAGAGCTCACACACATGTAAATAGCAATGTTGATAATATTATAAAACAAGCTTATGTGATTGGTATTTTTTTTCTATTTGCTTATTTTATATAATATACATTTGTAATATTATCTGATTTCCATATGGTTGTATTAGATGTACAAGACCATTGTGAACTTAAAGATACTTTTCAAAAATCCAAGACATATCCTTACAAGCTATCGGCATTAGACATTCTAACAAAAAACATCATTGTTTTTATTAGACTATTTTAAAGAAATTTACAAGAATCGCAGAAAAAGTAAATTATATAAATCAAAAAAAAAAACACAATGTCAATTAGCTACCTTAAAAGAGACTGTTGATTCAAGATGCCTTCCAACAGGATATAATGCTAATATAGTCCCATTATCAGATTCTTGTGATCATTGTCATAAAAAACTTGATGAAGGCGAAGTATTAATCTGTGGGTATGGTTGTCATTTTGAATGTTATCAAATAATAGAATATGGATGTCGATATTGTGAGGAATATTATAAACGTGAAATTTATAGTAATGTGAATTCTTTTTTAGATCGATTAGAAAAAAGTCCAAATATTCTTACCTCTGATGAACAAAATGCAACTCCAATAGAAGAAGAAAATGAGGCGGTAGAAGAAGTAAAAGCAAATAGGAGTCAAGAAGTGCATACAGAATTTATAAATGCACTTAGTCACGTTAATACTTGGTAATATTACCTGTAATATAATAAATAAATTTCTTATTAGATTAATAAAGAACTTTATTTTAAAGAATTCAAAATAAATTTTAATTTTTTAAAAATTAAATACTCTTTTTAGAATAACTTTTGAAATTTCAGTTTAAATTTACCAAGGTTATCGATATATTTCTTTAATTAAAGAAAATGCTTCATATAAAACTCTCTGAAACATCAGATGTCATTGGATGTTATTGACTTTAGTGAAGGAAATAGCTTTAGAGAACAATTTTGCGAAGTTTCATTATGTATTACTTAGTAATATTTGTGGCTTGTTATATGGTCGATCATAATTTAATTAAATTTTTTTATAAAACATATATAAATAATTGTGTAATGATGATCACTAAATTTAGACTTTCCCTATGCTTCTATGTAGTAAAGTATTAAATATTAAATAAAGATTTTGCTATTTTTTTTATTGAAACAGATTTGTGAGTTGGTAAATAAATTGCAAGCATAATTTATGCTTTATTATTGCAAATTTTACTGAATGATTTTTACGATCTACGTAATTAAAAATGGTATAGCAATTGATTTCAAATTTACAAAATGTTACAACATAAGCTAAAATTAGTTGCAACATATATAGGTTAAAACTAATTGCAACGTAAGTTGCAACATTAAAAATAGCAACATATTACTTACAGTTCTCATCTTTATACATAATATTTTTTTATTGAATAAAAAGTTACATAAACTTTCTGACGATCTATATAATAATTAAATTTATAATGATGTTTTTTAAATTTTTAAGAATAGACTCAGTCCAGAACTTGGTCCTAATATCAGTCCCAAATAAATCACGAGACCTTGATAAGATAAAGTTAGTCCATTCACATGTCAGGACTTACAGGTTTTGGAACTTTAACTGGACCATGACGGACTTTTTTCACCCTAGGCAAGTTGGGTGATCCACCAGATCATGAATCCAAGATTAGAAAAAAAACTCTTTCTTCAGACCATAAATTTTGAAAAACCAAAAATTTTAAAACTTTTTGCTTTTTATTAAATACTTCTTATAAAACTTTATATTTTAATAACAAAAGAATCTCTAAAACAATTTCTAATAACAAAAGAACCTTTTAACCAAATTTTTCAATATGTCTACTTTTACTCTAAACACTTTTCAAAAGATTTTTACCCATGATATACAAACTTTTCTAAATACATAAATAAAGCCAACTTTAACAATAAAGAATATATTTATAACTTGACACATACTTGTACTTACACTTTTTACGAAACTAAAAATGAGTATCATAATACATATCAAACTTCTTCAACAATTTCTAATATTATTGAAGCTGCTACTTTGTCTCTTGATGCATTAATAGTAAAAGAATTTTTAGATGATGACTTTAATAAAGATAATATTATTTCACTCTTAGATGAAGATATTTCACTAATTATGAATACTTTAGAAAAAGATGACATGGCAATTGGCTCTGAATCTTTCTCTTCTTTATCAACATCTTCTTCAAAAACAAAACATAATAATAATAATAATAATAAAAACAAACTATACAATAACAACACATGTTATTAACAAATAATTAAGATTATATGTCAATCATGTGTCTCTTAAGATTATGACATAGATCCTTTTTTGGTATAATGTTTGCATTTCTATTTTTTTGGGTTGTATATTAACTCATGTAATCTTACATAGGAATAAAAATTCTGTCTTTGCATTAATTTTAACTAATAAAATATCAGGTAATTCAAGAGTTGAATAACTTAATCTCATTATTTCACTTTTTTTTGATTATGCTGATCTTGTCAATATTAACTGGAAATTTTATAATGATAATATCAACATCTTTATTGAATTTAATAATAGAAAACTCCTTTTAGAAGTAATCAATGCTATTTTGATTTTATATCCTACTCTTCCCTTTAATTTAGTTGACTATCACTGATACATCTAATAATAATGCTTTAATCTATTGTTTAAAGGCTGTTTCATATAATACTACCAAATAACATATAAAAAAAGCAATGTCTTATTATAGTACAATTACCAAAATCAAAGAGGATTATACATTTTAACATAATAATACTCATAATGTTATCATCACCTTTAATAATTTAAGAAAATCACATCAAATAAATTTTATTTAGACTCATAATATTAATGAATAAGTCATTAGATGTATTTATAAAAACACATCAATTGAAGAATTAAAAAACAAAAATCATTTTATTGTAAGCTTCAAAGGTTTTTCTAGTGATACAACTATATATGAAGTTGAAATAGATTATTTTAGATATCTGAAATGGCCAAAATGGTCAAAATCAATTTTTTTGATACATTTACTAGGCACGCGCTAGTAATAAAGTTCAGTTGCATACCTTTTAACAGAATGATACAATTTACAATATGGGAGCTGATCTATTAAAAGTGGGTTATGAGACATAGTAAATCATATGATCTGTACCTCAATTTTAATAGAATACTACCCATATATATTTATTACTATAACTCCCTTTTGGTATATTGCATACAACCTAATGTGAATTTGCATTAACCTAGGTGAATAAGTATCATTACTAAGTAGACTGCCAAATCACTAAACCTTATAGTAGAGTACTATAATATCTGTTATCATTCATATTCATCACAATTACTAGAAAGAAAGTTAAGAATAACCTAAAATGATAGCCTACATTATAGTTTCCTCGCTATACATCAAAATTACCTCAAGAATCAAACTTAGGTTTCTAAACCTTAGTTGTAATATAAGCATCATAATACGGTATTTTACCGAAAATAAGCACACCTTTTTTACTATAGAGGTACTTATTTTCAGGTAGTTCACGTGATTTATAGAAAGCTAATTATTTTTCCGATGATCAATCCACATGTGACTGTATAATGCGAATTTACGTGAACAGCACGTTTAGTTTATCATCGATGCGTCAAATCTTATCTGATGATTATCATATCATCTCAGTTAATGAAACGCGAAACCTGTTTTAAACCTGTTAAAAAAATGCGTAAAAGAGTTGTTAGAAAGGTTAGACGAACTTCATATTCTATTGAGAAGAAAAGGGAAGTTGTTAA